CCCCGGGCTTCCTGGAATCAGCCGCTGATCAGTTTCAGCAGCGGCTGAATCTGGACGCCAGTTCCGACTTACATACAGATTCAACTTAAGAACAAACCTACAGTCCCTATCTTGTACGTAACCCGGGGACTGCCTGTAGTAGTTTCCATACCTACTGATAGTTGCCATAAATAGTAGCATTTGTAGTGCGTAAGAGCTGCAGTCATGGACTGGCGCCCTATTGTGCTAGGTGCTCCACCAAGATTGTCACTGTCCCAAGAAGCTTATGACTAGGGTGATAAGTAGTATGATTGACTAATTGTACTATAATAGCAGTTAAAAACCTCTGCCAGGCTGTCTAGAGTGGCTCATGACCATGAGTACCAACCTCGAAGAAGCAAACTGGGTTTGAATTCTGTACTAAGATCATGTCTAAACTACAGGCCTATGTTGGTATAACTACATCACTCAGGGGTGTGAAGAATCAACATCTGTGAGAGACATAGTTATACTGACCTTAACTGCCTGCGTAGACTGTGTTGCGTTGACAGAAGAAGCTCTCCTGTTAACAGGACATAGCTATAGGCTCTTGGGGAGGTGGATGAACTATGCCAACAGGAGAGCTCTCTGCTGTCAGCATAGGAGCATCTTCACTTAAGTGCTACAGTGGCACAGTTGCATTGGTGTAGCTGTGCCGATATAGTGTTTTAACTGGAGCACAGGCCTTAGGTTTCAGCAGCCGAAACTCAAGTGTGAACTCTACAAGCATTACAGCAGCCTTAACATGAAGTCACAGACCATCCCATTGGATACTCTAGTCTATCCTTTATACCATGTGTTACAGATGTTATGAGATCAATGCATGTAGCATCCTGCAAGCATTTTGTCAATTGGAGACACTATAAACCCATTCTTATCAACTTAATGTCTATTTTAACAATGCTAACACACAGGTGAGCCAGGCTGATTTCCAGCTATGCATTTGTCAGTATTGAGGCCTAGGGCCTTTGGCATGAGCTGGCACTAGGTTACTGTACAAACCTTGCCCTCAGGCCAGCAGACACTTGGGTATGCAATTAACTTGATACCTGTGAGTAGTCTACTCACATGACAAATTTGTTGCCACCCCTGAGTATTTGCAGATAATACAGTAAGAAAGTTTCTCCCTCTGAGGCTGCAAAAGACAGGTGGTATATAAAATATATTGTAAAAAGAGACTAGTGCCCTTCAAAAAGGGACATTGGTGAAATTTTGTATCTCCACACAGGGTTACCTGTCTTAAAGAATATCCTTGCAAAAAGGCTGTGTTACTGTTAGGAAGGCAGTGTTCTTTCTCTGAATGCATTAAGGTGATTGCTATATGCTGAACACATCCCATATAGAGATTGAGTTACTGTCCTGTTCAGCTAACACAAAGCACATCTTAGGAAACCCATGAATAAACAAACAACCTTACATTTTCAGGCTCAGGCCTAACAAGGGATAGCAGCCTGTAGATGGCTACACAATTAACCAATAAGCCTGGGCTTCTTGGTTAATCCTGTTGACTACACCCCCATCACTCTCCCCCCCACACACACACACTTACTGCCTTTGTATACAGAGGCAGCAGCGTGGGTGACAGCTGGGAGTTGGCCTGCACAGGGAGCTGGTTTTTAATAGACAGGCGGCAGCATGGGGTGGCGGGGGCTCCCCTGGATCTGCTGGCCCTGCCTCGGGGGACTATCGAATAGTGTAACTACTAAAATTTGATGCGGTTACATGGCTATTCAATTACACGCCAATATCCCTAGCATATACTTCTGTGTATACTTGCAAAAAAAAAAAAATCACTTGACAGAGGAAGAGGATAGTAGGGATGTGAATGGTTAACTGGTGCGGGCTGAAGCAGCTCCCTACCCGCCATGGGCAGGGGACTGCGCCAGCTCTGTGGGGTCTGCTGCGGGTATGGGTTGCTCCAGACCAGCCAAAGTAGCACTTTCTGGGGTTCTCCTCTATAAGACACCAAACCAGTCTCACAGAGCACTTCAGATGCCACTCTGGCCAGCAAGGAGCCTCATGAGCAAAACCCCTCAGACACCCCAGCATTCCCTGTACCCCAGCCAGCCCCACCTTACACAGGGGAGATGTTCTAACCCATCTCATCAACTCCAAACAAGTTCTCCCAGCCCCAAAGGACCAGACACCATCCCAGGACAGTTCATACCTCAGATCTTACCCAAAAGAGCTTGCTGGGCCAGTCCTTTTTCTAAAATCTAAAGGTTGATTAATAAAAGAAAGAAAAGGTTGAGTGAGATTGTTAAATCTCTGCTAAGAGCCTGCATCAAGAACTAGGTGATTGATGTATGTAATGAGTTCTCTTTAACAAACTGTCAGCTTACAAGTCTCTGGAGTACAGTCAGGATGACATAGGATGTACTCCTGGTCAGTGATGCAGTGGGATGGTAAGGCAGGCTTCCTGCCTGTCCTGGCACAGTGGACAGCACTGCACCCTGGAAGTGGCCAGCAGCC